GTCTAGGGAGTCTAAGTCTCTTTATAGGTCTTATGTATCTGGGTGTTAGGATTGTTAGCTCTTATTGTTGCATTGATCCTTTTACCACTATATCTTTGTTGCTTTAAAATCTATTTTATCAGATGTGAGAATTGCAACTCCTGCTTTTTATTTATTTATTTTTGCTCTCCATTTGGCTGGTAAATCTTTCTCCATCCCTTTGTTATGAGTCTTTGTGTATCCTTGCATGTGAAATGTGTCTGGATGTAGCATACCATTTGGTTTTGGCTGTATCTTTTGATTGGGGGATTTAATCAATTTAAATTTAGGATTACTGCCATTTGATGTTAACTGGCTGTTTTGTCCATTCATTGATGTAAATTCTTCATTATGTTGATGCTGTTTACTTTTTGGTATATTTTTAGAAGGCTAATACTGGTTGTTCCTTTCTATGTGTAATGCTTCTTTCAGAAGCTCTTGTAAAGCAGGCCTGGTGGTAATAAAATCTCTGAGTACTTGCTTGTTCATAAAAGATTTTATTTTTCCTTCAGTTCTGAAGCTTAGTTTGGCTGGATATGAAATTCTGGGCTGAAAGTTTTTTTCTTTAAGGATGTTGAATATTGGCCCCCACTCTCTTCTGGTTTGTAGGGTTTCTGCTGAGAGATCTGCTGTAAGTCTGATAGGCTTCCCTTTGTGGGTAACGTGACCTTTCTCTCTGGCTGCCCTTAGTATTTTCTCCTTCGTTTCAACCCTGGTGAATCTAATGATTATGTGCCTTGGGGTTGCTCTTCTTGAGGAATATCTTTGTGGTGTTCTCTGTATTACCTGGGGTTGAATATTGTCCTGTTTTGCTAGGTTGGGAAAGTTTTTCTGAATAATATCCTGAAGAGTATTTTCCAGCTTGGATTCATTCTCTTCGTCACATTCAGGTACACCTATCAAATGTAAATTAGGTCTTTTCACATATACCATATTTCTTGGAGACTTTGCTCATTCCTTTTTATCATTTTTTCTCTAATCTTGTCTTCTTGTTTTATTTCATTAAGTTGGTCTTCGACCTCTGATATCCTTTCTTCTGCTTGATCAATTCGGTTATTAAAACGTGCATATTTCACTAAGTCCTCGTGTTGTGTTTTTCAGCTCCATTAATTCATTTATATTCCTCTCTATACTATCTATTCTTGTTAGCATTTCATCAAATCTTTTTTCAAAGTTCTTAGTTTCTTTATATTGGGTTAGAACAAGTTCTTTTAACTCTCAGAAGTTTCTTATCATCCACCTTCTGAAGCCTATCTCTGTTAATGGAACACAGTCTCTCCATCAGGCCTTGTTCAATTGCTGATGAGGAACTGTAATTCCCTGTAGAGGGAGAGGCGTTCTGATTCTCAGCCTTTTTAGACTGGTTTCTTACCTTCATTATAAATTTATCCATCTGTCATCTTTACAATTACCACCTTTCTAATTAGGTTTCTGAGTGGATGTCCAATTTATTGATTCCCAGCACCGGAATCTGAGCAACCCACTGTGCCAGCCAAACAGTGGCGTTAAGATTCATGGTGCTTTTCAGCCCAGGAATCTCCAGTCTGGCTTCCTTCTTGAGTCCGTAATAGGCGACTCTGCCTCCCCGGAGCTCCAAACGTCAGTCAGAAGGGGAACCAGTCCTGTTTACTCTGCACCAAGAGCTGCTGCGCTGAGGCACTGGCAAAACCGCTGTGCCGGCCACAAGAGTCTTGCTGGTGACTTGTTGGGCTCCTCCACTGGGAATCTGGTCTGTGAGCGACAAAAATTCATCTGAAAGTGTGGCGTCTTCGATTTTCACTGGGAGCTACAATCCCGAGCTGTCAGCGATCAGCCATCTTGGATCTCTCTGTGAGGCTAAGTATAATGACTTAAAATGCTTTATGATTTTGATACATGCTGACTTATGTCAGGAAAATACATTCCTATGAGAGTCATTATGATTAGAGACTAGTGGCCCTTATTCTATCTTTAATCTCTCGGTAGTCCTTGAGGTCTTTTGGGGGCTATTCTTCATGGGAATAGTGCCTCCAAGGTACCTGCTCATCCAGATATCGCAGGGCAGTGAGGCCTAAAATGGTTAGATCCTAAACTTCAGGGTAGACAAAATCGTTTTTGTGAGAGCAGCAGATCAGGGCATATGCACTTTTCCAGCCTCGTAGAGCTATATAGAACCTAGAATTCCTGTGCTTCTTTGAGGGGACAATCTGTAAGGAGTACTAGGAATGTAAACTCTTTGTGAATCGGCACAAGTGTTTTTATGGTTCCCATGACTTCGAAACCACAGCTTATGTTTGTCCAGCTGTTCAATGAGAATCAAATGAAAAATATGTTTTTATTGTAGGCTCCTGTATAATCACACCACTTAGACCTATCAGGATGGCTTGATATTGGCCTCAATCATATAAATAGTATTATAGGAAGTAAAATAACATGGAACTAAATAAGAAATCATTGAATCGAGTCAACAAGTAACATAGTACTGCTAAGATACTATGTATTATGGGCAATATGTGAATAATAAAAGAAGAAAATTTATCCTCAGAAAAAAACTTTAAAATCTAGTAGGAGACATTAGGACAAGTATTTACTCACTGCTATCAAAAGAGACAGAGAGCGAGCTATGTGCTTTGAAGTTATGATAAGGTCCTTGAAGAAGGTAGAACTATAGAAGAGAGGTGTGGGGGTGGAGGGGGAGAGATCTCACTTCTGACTTGGGAACATCAGAAAAGGCTTCACAAAGGAGGAAGAACCAGAAATGAAACAAAAAGGGTGAGGAAAGCAAATGATGCGATCTTATGATTTTGCAATCAATTTTTAATTTAATTTAATTTTTGTCTGTAGAGTTCCATTCCTGAGTTTTGTTAAAAAACAACTTTCTTTCCCTAGCAAGCAGACTCAGAAAAAAGAAAAAAAACTCCTAAAGGGCTATAAAGTAATGCTTGGGTCGGGTAGTATTGCCATCCAATAATTTGCTGGTCACTGAGTATAAAAATAAGATACAGATTTGTATGCTGTGAATATTTAGCTACATCTGATGCTGATCATACTTTAAGAGGGAGATAAAAGGATGTCTGTGTATATTGCTCATTTAGTTAACTGTGAAGAGGTTTGTGTTATAATTACCTGTTTCATTGGTTACTGTCATTGAATCCTTTCATGCTGGAGTAGTGCTGCTGCTGCTGCCCTTTGTGTGGAATGATAATATTACAAGGCTTGGAAAGGTCTTGCACAGCCCTTTCCCTTATGTTGTAGATGTCCAAACTGAAGTCCAGAGAGAGGAAAGGTCTCATCCTTTGTAGTAGAACTCGGATGTTAACTCGGTTTTCTTGCGCTCAGTTTCCTAGAATTAATTCTACTGGGCATAAAATACATCTTTCATAACGTTTAGTATATCTACATGTCTCTCAACTACTGAAATCTATAGTATGTGTAGTAATTGTAGCAATTAAATAACTTGCTAGTTTGATCTGCTTTGTTCCTCATAGACTACTATGAACCAACAAATATATTTCTGAAATAACAGTGTTAAAGACATTGTAACACTGGTCTTTACATCTTATCAACAGATTTAGATATGCATGAAATAGTTTTGCATAATGAAATTAAGCTTAAAAATATTCTTGAAGTTCTAGGAAGGCCTTGATATAAAGAACCAGGCTTCAAATTTCTAAGAACTCTTTCTATTTGAAGTCAGTCTCTCTGTCTCTCTCTCTCTCTCTCTCTCTCTCTCTCTCTCTCTCTTTCTTTCTCTCTTTCCCCCCCCGCAGCCCCTCCTTATCAGAGCTTTCCTTGGTTATTCAGGTCTAATATTAACCACAATGCTATAAGCTCAATATGATAAATTATAGAAGCAATCTCATTTTATAATTTGCTACTTGTTTTAAGGTGTACTTATTTTCATACTAATGCCTTATCTACATGTGAAGCCACATGCAAAACTTGTCTCATATTGCACTTTGACTCATACTATGTGTCAGTAAGTTCACCTAAACCCTGAAACAGAAAAAAAATGATAGCAAATAACATTATAGGTTACTGAGTTTAGATCTATTGAACTTCTGAGGTTGTTTTATGATATATTGTGTAAACATAAAAAGGTCACTTTGCTGTGAAAAAAGTAAAGACTTTTATAAAAACTTGTTTTATTGCAGTAATCTTAGCTTCATAAAAAACTCATGGGTAGCATTAAAGGGCATTGAGTTTAGCAGGGAAAGGCACTGAGGTAACCTTTGTGCTTTGTGAAGACACGTTGATTAGTGCCAACTCTGCCCTTTGGCTCAGTAATTGAAATCTTGGCATTTGATTGATAAGTAAGTAATGTAATAAAGAAACTATGTGCATGCAAAGTTATTTATTGCAGCATCATCCAAAGCTATGTATAATTTTAAAAAATTAAGTTAATATCCAATAAGATGAAATTAGTTTAATAATTTATAGCATATCCTCTTAGCCCCTTAGGATGGTGAAGCCAAGAGTAACTCTAAAATTTTGTACTCAAGTATTGTTATAATGTTTCAACAATAAAATGTGACAAAGTGTAAAAATAATAGAGTAATCTGCAAAATACACATGCATTTTGTGAGTCCCATTATTATTCCTGATATTCCATATCACATCAGACTTTAAATGTATAAACTACTTCAACCTGTTCAACTTTGAAATAAAAATGAGCAAATAAATTTGTTGTTTTGATTTCAAAACTAAACAAAGAAATGTAAGCACTATTTTCCAGATATATTGCTAAATAACACCATTACAATAATAATATATAAAATTATAAACCATATTCTAAGCCTAGATTATAGTGTTTACATAATGTTGCAAAATAGTGCCTGTAAAAAACACACTGATGCATCTTTTGTTGCCAGTAATTTCTAATTATATGCCAAGTTCCTCCATCCACTGGAGCAATGCATTTACTGCTTTTGAAGAAATTCAGATCCAACCACATGGACAAAGTAGTTCTCACTTGGCCTCAAGTTTTGTCTCCTTTTTTGAAGCCCACCACCACAGACACAGAATACTCTAAAAGCCAAAATACTTTGAGGAGGCACTTGGAAGAAAAAATGTTTCACTGAAATTTCAAAACTTCACATGATAAACCAAGAGCAAAGCCAGGTAGGTGGATGTGCTGAGTTTATACGTTGAACCAGAGAATATGGAGGATTCACCGTGCCTTTGGGGCAGCTTTCCTTCCCTCATAGAGAGGACTTTTGAATGCTTGCTAGGCTTAATTAAGGAAGAAGCTCTGGGAGGATTTTCAATGAAAAGCCTGAGTATGGATGCTAGAGAGGGTCCTCCTCCAAGTCCCCCTGCAATTGAAGCCTGAAGTAGGAGACCCCCTAAGACCGCCAGATGGGTGAAGGGTTCTGAGAAAATGAGGGACTGGCATGCTGCTCTGCTTCTTGTCTGGAATTCTGGAAGGAGACACCTCCCAGAGTTTATATCCATGTGGGGCTGCCTTAGTAGATGGAGAGAGTGATGTGCTACTTCATACAAAAGGGTCTGAGTCACCCCTTCCTCTGCCTCACCCTCAAATCCCTTCCTCCCTGGATGTATCTAGGAAGCTTGAAACATTGTGCCTGAGGTTATTTAAACTATAATTGAAAGCTGTGAGATTTGTCTGTCTGCCAGGGGTTAGCAGGGTGATTGGGAGGTGGGACCTCAATGGTTGAGATCCAGGCTAGAGGGTCTCAGAGGATCAGCAGTTAGCAAAGGCTGATGTGGAGCAGAGCAGCAAGACAGCTGAGTTTCTTGAGCAAAGTCTGTTGGATGCTTGAGTCTGGAGACAGAGCCCTATTACCATCTGTCTCCTGCATGCAGCAGAAGTGGGCTAAAACCTAGGATCTGGAGGTTAAACTACACAGGACAAGCCAGAGGAGGACTCTCAGACCAGAAACTCCTGCCCCCAAGTCAGGCTGATACATAAGCCCTGAGAATTTAGATCTCTCATAGCAGAAAGGAGAAAGGCATCAGGGTGAGGATGGGGAGGAGCAGTATTCCTTTCACATCATTAAAAGCAAAAGGGGCTTGTGTCCTAGGTTATTTTAACTATAGAGAAATTAACATTTTTATTCCTGTACACCTATCTTTTTGTGACTCAAGAAATAAATACCTGCTAAAGCCATGGGGTGTGTGTGTATATATAAATGTATAAGTCTCAGAGATAATGAGATTTTGTTACTGATTCCCTGACCTAGGAAAACACTGTGAGGCCCCATTACAGTGGATCAGGGATGGATGGACCAGTGGAAAGGATACAGGGGAGTAGATGAAGCTGGGAGAAAGAGAGCTTAGCAGGATTGATAAGATCCTGTTGGTAATCTCAAATTCAGTTTTTACCTAAACAAGTTTGTAACCCTGGAAACCAGGGAGTTGCTGGAAATGTGTCCAATCTGGGGTAAATTGGGGTTAGTGTGGGGTAGGGGAGCAAGCAACCTGTCTAGATAGCTTAGGACCCAGATAGAGGAATCCAAGATATTAAAAAAAAAGATTACAGGCCATAGTATTTGAGGCATATTGCCTAACGGTTTATTTTTATGATTTGTGTTTCCTACAAATGCCAGGAACCCAATTGGTTGGCTCCTGGGCATGTGGAAGGAAACATTTGCAGCTGGTTAAGAGTAAAATAAACAGTTGCAAGTATGCTCTGCAATTGGATGGAGAGAGGGCTGACAGGGACAGAAAGGGGAGGCTAAACAGAGAAGTATGGGATGCAGCAGAGTATTGCAGGAACTGTGGAAAGTTTAGAGTCAAATGCATCTGGGTTGAATCTGGGGAATTCTGCATACTTACTGTGTATGGCCTTGGGCCTGTCAATGTTCTCATCTGCAAAATGGGGATAATCACGTTTACATTGCTGGGTTTTGGTAAGCATTAGGATGATATGTTTAAAGCATGTAAATCCTTCTCTGGCACCTATCCAGCAGGTGCTTGGTAAATGATAGGTGTCACTATAAAGATATATTCATTTTTTTCTGGAGGGGCACTGTTTTTTACGTCTTTTTGTTCTGTTTCCTGTGCTTTTACCCATTGTATAAATTTTGCTGCTGTAACAAATGACCATAAATCTAGTGGTTTAAAGAATAATTTTACTCTTACAGTTCTAGAGGCCAGAAGTCTAAAATTGAGATGTTCTTCCTCTAGAGCAGGGATGGGGAGAATCCTCTACTTCTCTCTCTGGTGGCTGTTGGCATTTCTTTGTTTGTGGCTGCACCACTCTCTGCTCTGTCTTCAGTCGTCTTCTCTGAGTGTCTGTGTCTAATCTCCCTCTGCTTCTCTCTTATAAGGTTCCATGTGATTGCACTTAGGACCAATCCAGATAATACAGAATAATGTTCCTCGTTCATCATTCTTAATCAGGTCTTCTGCTATATAAGGTAATTCTTACTCTTTTTTCATGTAAAGTGATAGTCACAGGTTCTGAGGATTAGGAAGGGCATATATATATTTGAGGGGCTATTTTTTTTCTGCCTACCATAACTTTATAAATCCTGTGAGAAAGTTTCATAAAAAATCAAGCCTAAGAAGTAAGATTTTAGAAAACAGTTTGATTTTGCTTTAAAGTGGGCTAAGGAAATGGTGCACATGAAAACAGGGAACTTAGTTGCCAGATTTAAGAATGGAACCCAAAAGATAAGCACCTGAAATAAAACACTACCATTTGGAAAAATGAGAAGAAGATTTGAAATAATGATGATATCTTTTTAAAATGCAGTATCATTTACTTTCCAAATTATTCCAGCACATTTCGCTCTCAAGTGAATCCCTAGAAATCAAATCTTATTTTGCTACTGATTTTGACTGTATCACTGGAATTATGCATCTGTAGAAAAATTTTCTCTGTGATCTTAACTGAAACTGTGTTTTCACAGAGCCTGGACCCTTCTCAGGGCATTGTATCTGTTCAGACACTGCCATTCTGAATGTTACAGTGCTTTTCCTGTGTCCTTCTAAAAATTTCCCCAAATTATGGAAGCGCCTCCTTCACTGGGGAATCATTGCACTATATATTTGTAGTGCTTCTCAATGGACCTAGTAATTTCCAATAAAGTTAGACTTCCTTGATGATCACCTGCCGCTAATATTTAAATATGACCTTTGGACTTCAGTGACTTATAAAATATATTTTCTCCATGTTTATTATTGTTTTATAATTCTATATTTTAAAATAAAGGATGTATATGCAACTAGGAAAATGATGTTTTATTTTAAATAAAGGATGTATATGCAACTAGGAAAATGATGTTTTATTTTGTGTATAATCACATTTTTGCCTTTAAGGAAATCGTCTTATGCATATTCTTTTTTTTTTTTTTTTTTGAGATGAAGTCTCACTCTGTCACTCAGGCTGGAGTACAGTGGCGTGATCTCGGCTCACTGCAACCTCCACCTCCCAGGTTCAAGCACTTCTTATGGTTCAGCCTTCTGAGTAGCTAGGATTATAGATGTGTGCCACCACGCCTGCCTAATTTTTGTAATTTTAGTAGAGACGGGTTTTGCCATGTGGGCCAGGCTAGTTTTGAACTCCTTGCCCTGTCAAAAGTGCTGGGATTGCAGGCATGAGCCATTGCACCTGACTGTTATGCATATTCTTAAGTCTGAGATTTATTGTCTCTGGTATTAATATCAGAAACTTTTCTGTAGCACTTGATATGTTTTAAAATTCATAGAATTCTGAATTGTTTACATGATCTGATTTCCTTTTATGTTGTTAAGTTTATTCCCTACCTATAAAAGTATAGACAATTTTGTCATATATTTTTACAATAATTTTCTTTTTGGTTGAATTTTGTATGGGTGCTGTTATTGCTTTTCTTTTTCATGTGTGTCATGGGTTGACTGGTGTCCCCCAAAGAGATATAGTAAAGTCCTGAACGCTGATACCTTTGAATATCACCTTATTTGGAAATGGTCTTTGCAGATCTATTAAGATGAGGTCATACTGGATTAGGATGGGCTCTAACCTAATTACTGGTATACTTATAAAAGGGGGAAAAGACACACAGGACAAAGACACACACAAGGAAGATCACAGTGTAAAGATGAAGGCAGAGATTGTAATGATGCACCTGCCAGCCAGGGAATGCTGAGGTAGCCCATCTCAGCCACCAGAAAGTAGGAAGAGTCAAAGGCAGATGATTTCTTAGAACCTTCAGAGGGATTGTGACGCTGTGAACAACCTGATTTCAGACTTCTAGCCTCTGTAACTGGGAGAGAATAAGAACACATTTCTGTTGTTTAAAGCTGCCCAGTTCATGGATTTTGTTACTACAGCCCTAGGAAACCAATAGTGTCCACACATTTGAGAGAGTGTGTGTGTATTAATATAAATACATGTACATGTATGGGTCATGTATGTGAGAGAAGTTATCACCTACCTCAAATTTCTGCCATCTACTTCATATTGTTTTAAAGAATGAAATTATGTAATAAATATTTAATAGTAATTATGATATTATAATTCTAATAGTAGTATATTCCTCTCATAAACTCCTTAGAATATATCTCCTTGTTCAAGGTAGCTATTGGAATATATACCCTTTGTATAATTTTTGTTTTTTAGATGGAATCCTTGCTTTGTCTCCCAGGCTGAAGTGCGGTGGTGTGATCTTGGCTCACTACAACCTTGACCTCCTGGGTTCAGGCGATTCTCCTGACTCATCCTCCCAAGCAGCTGGGACTACAGGCACGTGTCACCATGCCTGGCTAATTTTTGTATTTTTAGTAGAGATAGGGTTTCAGCATGTTGTCCAGGCTGGTCTCAAACTCCTGATCACTGGTTATTCACCTGCATTGGCCTCCCAAAGTGCTGGGATAACAGGAATGAGCCACTGTGCCTGGCCTTCATAAAAATTTAATTAGTTATACATTGCTTCTAGGACAATGATCAAGATCTTAACCTATGCATTTTCCTGACTCTGCCAGTAGTAACTTGGCATTTTGCAGGAAGCTGCCTCAAAATTCCAAATAGCACATAACATGATTAGGAAGCAAGTGACTTCTGAGCTTGAAGATCCATGTGGGTGTTTCATTAAGATGAAATGCATCTGGGATTTGCTAAGAGATAGGTCAAGCCAGCACACATCCAGGTCTGTCCCTCCATGGCATCTGCGCTATGTAATGTGGTCACATAAAACCTCTTCGTGAGACAGCAAGCAGATAAACTGGAGACATTTCCTAAGACAGAAACAGATGAGCGGCAAAGACAGTTTTGCTCTTCATTTCCATTTTATGCATTCCAGGGCTTGGCAGGGTCAGCTCTGCTTTAATATCGGTGATAATACAATGCTGTAAAGTAATCAAATCAAGCAAGATTCTCTCTAAGTTGTAGACTAGTTTCCTGTTTTATTTTCTTGAATGTTTTCTTTTACTTTTGAAAACAGACAGTGAACCTTAAAAGGAGAGAGGCAGCTTTTAAGCTTGCTGTCATCATTTAGATCAATTTGGAACCAAGTCCCACCTCCCATCTCTTCTAAATTTGATGTACATCCTCTGTTGGCCACTGGCCAGAACAGAAGTCAGGAAATGATAAATACTAATTTATTCCCAGACACAGCAGTTTGTGCTGAGATGGGAGACAGCATTTATAGTCATTAAACCTATTGCATTTTTTAGTGTGTTTATTAATAGCAACCAAAATTAATGTTGATGTCATCTGCACTAGTGATAGTCAACTTTCAGTTTTGTCATTCTTAGTGGCTTTCCTGCCCAATGAGCCATGCTTTTTTTGTTCAACCTTCCACAGTGATTTGTAATATGACTGTCAAATCAGGTTTAACTAATGTAGTTTAACACCAACTAGACATAACCAGATATATAGCTGACAGAATTGCTTTAGCAGGTATGTCAAATATCAGGGAAACCCAACAGATCTTAAAGAAAATACCTTCAGAAGAGAACATCTTGTTTATGCTTGAGAAAACATCTCTAATGCTTGAGAAAAGTATCTCTGAATTTTATAATTTTGAAAGTCTCTTGATAAATAGGCAGATTAATCAGTATAGTACTGTCATTTCTTTTTAAAAAATATGTAACAGCTACTGAGATTTTTTTTCTTATCCTGTCAACCAAACAACTGAGTTAATTGATCATCAGGTTAAAGTTGGTGGAAGAAATAAAAACCTCAGAGTCGTCAATATCTTGCTATGTTTTGGTGCATCTGATGCTCTGAATTGGCTTTGACTAGATATCACATAGCTGAGAAACATCTTATGTTCTGGTATTTGACAAGCACTGAAAGCATCTGAGGCAATGAGTTGGCATGGATTCAGCCTGCCTTGGCAAAAGCATAGCCATAACTGATATGGTGTCCTACACAGACAGCACCTGCTCCTGAAATCAGGCCCATTGCTCATCGAAGGACAGCCCCTCCCCCAACAAATATTCCCTTCAATTTATTCATTTTTAAAATGGAGATTGATGGTAGAAAACGGAAGCACAATTGCTTTGGTTTGGACAAATATGCAGCCGTGCAATTAGCTTAAAATTGTGCAGGTAAAAACCACTCTGGCTAAATTATCATTTAATGGTTTGTAATAAAGAGATAGGTTTACTTGCTTTTAAAACAGAATCTAAAAAAGGGAATGCAAGGTATGTGAATGTGACATGAAAGCATAGAGGGATTAAGCAAGACAAAGCACATGAACAATTGGAGAGGTGATTCTAAGCAATGGATAAAAACACTACTTATACATTAAAACCAGTCACTGGACCTGGAAACATACAAAGTCTTTAATGTAGCAAATTTATATTTGCTAAAGGGAAGATCAGATCCTATTTCTCCCACACATTTCTTCCCCTTTTGAAAATTATACAGATTGTTTATTTATTCTTTCTTATACTTGAAGCTCACTGGCACCATTTCATCTAAACCAGAAGAATGGAAGAGTCCAAACTTCAGGGGCAATGAAAGAAACTGAGGAAAAGGAGGCACTTCAAGGTTAAATTATTGTGAACTGCAAATTTCACCACTTTGTTCTTCTGGACAGTTGCTTATGTATTTCTATTAGCAGATAATTGCTAATATCCAAGGAAGTCCTAAAAACAATTCAGTGTCTTGATTCTTTGACATTCTCAATGCTATCAGGTCTCTAAAACCAAACATGGTGCTGAGAAGCAGAAACTAATCATAAAAAATACTGTGTTTGTAGCTTTGCAGTCAGACAAATTGAGTTTGAAACATGCTGTTACTTAGTAGCTATGTGATCTGGGCATTTACTTAACCTTATAAATTTTCAGGTTTTTCGTCTGTAAAATTAGGATAACAGTAAACCTATCACATAAAATTGTTGGGAAGACTAAGTGGTGTAATGTATGCCAAGCTTAAAGCAATACCTAGCACATTATAATGGCTTAATCAACGTTAACTTGAATTAGCATTGTTGTGCCTGCTTAAACAGTGATTTTCAAATAACCCATATAGAGCCAGACGTCATTTGGAGATTGAGCCATAATGCAGATGAAATCACCAAGGATTTGTTTGATTTGTTTTTATTTGCAGGAACAGGGAACATGGCATGTAACATCAATCTGTATGTTATGTGATCTGGACATTAGCTGTGTTGGCTCTTGGCACACTTGACACCTCCTCCTTTGCTCCACCCTGCATTGCAGGGGCTGGAAATCTGAGAGCTATATGTTTCCCAGTCTCCATTGCCAGCAGGCTTATGAATTAGCATTAGGTTCCATCAGTGAGATACAGTCGTATAATATTTGGAAGGCAGAAGAGTATCAGAAACAGTGATGTGTTGAGTTGGCTCATACAAGTTCAAAGGAACTGATTGTGGACACCTTTTTCCATCTATGCATTCAGTAGCTTTGAATCAGCCATAGTGGGAATTTTTATATCACAGAAATTGGAAAATGCTACAAATAAGCACTTTTTTCATGCACAATGAGTCAGTTAGGTATTTATTGCATACTAGCGGATAGAAATAATATTATTCCTTTACGTGTATTGGCAGGCAGATAATCAGACATTGACAAATGAGGTTTTGCAGTGGCCTTTGGATGTTCTCCTGATTATTATCACGGGTCTGAATTGGATGTTCCTCTGATTATTATCGCTTGTCTCAATTGGGGGCATTTAAGTAGAATTCCTGCTCTGAGTTACAGTAGCAGTTTTCTGATTGCCTGAATCCAATGGCAAGCCTGTGCTATTGGTAACTTTCTCTGGCTTTTTCCCTTCCAACAGTTTTGTAAGTACCAAATTCTTTGTTAAATTTCCTCCTGCCCCAAATGGCTGAAGTACTTTCTGTTTTTCTGATAAAACTCTGTTAATACATTATGTCATAAATACATGAATATAGGCATGGATATCTGGGCAGAACTCATGTCAACTTGAAAAAAATAAGGGCTTTAAAAAATCAATGATAACAAACTTTCAGTATATGTGTGAGGATGCTGCCAGTGAATTTACTTAAATTTGAAGATAAGCTCAGTGCACCAAGGAAATAAATGAAACTACAAAACCACTTGTAGAGCATTTAGACTTGTAGACTTTGGCATTTATAGGTTTTAGATATGTTTTAAATCAAAGACTAGAAAAATCTGTTAAGCGGTTTCCTTTTTTGCTATTCTAAAGCTAGTCTATCATCTATTGTCTTTGAATGCCTGGCTAATTTTTGTATTTTTAGTGGAGACAGGGTTTCACCATGTTGACCAGGTTGGTCTTAAACTCCAGATCTCAAGTGATCCATCCACCTCAGCCTCTGAAAGTGCTGAAATTACAGGCATGAGCCATTGTGCCCTGCTTCATCTTTCAGAAGATACATTGTTTGCAAATATTTTCTCCCAGTCTGTGGCTTCTCTTTTTGTCTTCTTGACAGTGTCTTTTGCAAATTATAAATTTTTAATTTCAATGAAATTCAATTCAACAATTCTGTCTCATGGATTGTGCCTTAGGTGTTGTGTCTAAAAGGTCATCTCAAACTATAGGTCAATTAGATTTTCTCCTATGCTGTCTTCTAGGAGATTTATAGTTTTGCATTTTACATTTAAGACTGTGTGCCATTGTAGTTTACTTCTGGGAAGGCTGTAAGGTCTGTGTTTAAATTCATATGTGTATGTTTGTTTGTGTGTGTGTGTGTGTGTGTGTGTGTGTGTATGTTCAATTGTTGCAGCATGATTTGGTAAAAAGATTATCTTTTCTCCAGAATGTGGCCTTTGCTTCTTTGTCAAAGGTCTATATTTATGTGGGTCTATTTATGGGCTGTCTATTCTGTTTCACTGATCTATTTTTCTATTCTTTCACCAATGCCATACTGTCTATAGCTTTATAGTAATTCCTGAGGTTGAGTAATGTCAGTCTCCAACTTTGTTCTCCTTCAGTATTGTATTGGCTATTCTGGGTCAATATCCACAAAGTACTTGTAGGAATTTTATGGAGATTTCACTGGATTTATAGATCAAATTGAGAAAAATGAACATCTTGACAATACTAAGTCTTTGTACCAATGAACATGCAATATATCTTTGTTTATTTAGTTATTCTTTTCTTTCATCAGTGTTATAAAGCTTTCCTCATATAAATCTTGTTCATATTTCAATAATGTTCTTATTTTATTCGGGGGGCTCTAATGAAAATGGTATTGTTTTTTAATTTAAATTTCCACTTGTCCATTGCTGGTATATGGAAAAGTAGTTGACTTTTATACATGAACATCGTATCTACATGCTCTAATTGTTTATTG